ATAGTACATGGATGGCCCGAAGGGCCATCCACGTACTATGATCATCGATAACCTCCGTTATAATTTCTACTCCCCCAAGAAATAAATAATACAAATAAAATTCTTTTTGATATTTGAAAATAAGGATTATATTATAGTAGTATTTAATTTTATATTATAAGAAAAAGTTTGGGTTGCTTATAAGCCAAAAATAGACAAATTTAGAAAAAATTTTAATCAAATAAATTCTTTATAAATTCTTGACAAACTCTTTAAATATTAATTTTAAGCCTTTAGTTCTTAATACAATATTGTAGTTTATATAAAGGATATCAACTTTCATTATTGTATCTTTAGTAATTTACTTATAAAAATTATGACTTGTATTAGAAGTGAATATTTTTAAAGGTGAAAATATATAAATATTTGGAAAATTTAAAGAAATATTTAATAGTAAAAACTTTTAAAGTAAGAGCTTTAAACTTTTATTACTTTAAAGATTTCTAGTAAAATTAAAAAAACTTCCATAAATAGAATATTGTATATATAAATTATACCTTATAACATTAAATTTTAATTTTATTTAAAAATTGTAAATACTTTTCAAAATTCTGGGCAAATTTGCCTGGAATACAAATAAAGAGATAATATTATTATAAAATTATTATAAAATACAATTTTAATAATTGTATTAATATCTTTAAATTTATTTTAATTTTATTAAAAAAATAGCTAATTTTTGTAAAGTTATAATTACATACTGTATTTTATAATATAACTAAAAAATTCTATTTAAAAACTAGAACAAGCAAAATAGAAAACACCTTCTCTTTTGATAAACAAAATAGTAGCTTTTGTTGAAAAATAATCAGCTCATTCACTATTACTAGATTATATTAAAAATTTATATAAAGTTCTAAAAAATATTTAGAAATATTAAAATATACAATTGTATATATTTAAAAAACTTTAAAAAATATTTAAAAAGATATTTAATGACCTGTGAGTCGATAGCATAGCGGTTATGCTCCCAGGTTGCAAATCGAATGGTTGCCGGTTCAATTCCTCCAACAGCAGATTAATGAAAATTTGAAAATGGAAGTGAAACACCACGGAGTACAGGGAACCCGGGATATCTACAGATAGATGTATTCGGGGAATAGTTATTCTGAGAAGTTGTGGCTATGAAACGAGGCATGTTAGAACCCTGATTTGGAATAACTGAAGTCACAAGACATAATATGAGGCCAAGTCTGATAAAGATACTACATGAACTCATGGTGACACCGGATTGGCTGGTGAAATCCCAGTACAATAGAAAGGTGATTTGACCTCTCCGGAGTGTCATGCAGGCGGTCAGATCTAGGCCCAATGAGGGAACCGGAGAATGTTGGGCAACAGAATTCCAGGTGGATATATAGTACCTGTATGGGGTTATAGAGATTCCGTGACCCTAAGTAGCATGCATACTAGGGTCATCTATATAATAGTTGGAACCAAAGTCACAGCGAGACTTGCCAAAGAATTAAAAAAAAAAAAAAAAAAAAAGATATTTAATTTTTAAATTAGCAAATAGCTAAATAACTATCTTTAAAATATTTATTGGAGATACAATATACTACTAATAATTAAAAACTATATAAATTATAAATCTCTAAAGCAAAGACTTAATAACTAGCTTTTAATTTTATAGACAAGTGATACTTATAACAGATTGTTTTTAATAATTAGGCTATTATTGTTACAAAGGATGCAAAAAATATATCACTTGATCATGAAATTTGGTTGGATATCTTTAATAAATATTGTACAAAAATAAATTGTTTTGCTACATTTTGGAAAATAAATAAATTTCGTATATTTTAAAGAAATATATCCTATAAATTTTTTAATTCTCATCACATACAATCTTTTTACATAAATCTTTATAAATTATCATATACATTCATTATTCAAATAAAAAAAGATTTAAAAATTTCAAAAAATTATATGTGCATTATTTAAATCTCAGATTTTTTCCCAGTAACACCGGGTGTCGAAATTTCATGCGCTGAAGAAACATTGCTTTCTGAAACTTCGCGTCCTGAAGAAGCATTGTCTTCTTTAGCTCTACGGTTTGCAGCGTAAGCGGCAATGACCAAGGCAAAATGAATCTATAAAGCACAAATAAAATAATTAATAAAATTCGTATTACGTATTTAAAAGGTAAACAAATATAAAATACATTAAACATACCAAGAGAATAATAACTATAATGTAAATAATAACCAACACGATTCCAACCACCCTAAATTCATGATTACAATCGCCCACTGGATCATTGCTAGAACTTCCATTAGATTGATTTATATTGATACAATCATTCACATAGGAGTTTTTAAATACAAAAAATAAAATTATTGAGATTATAATGCCGATAATTTCAATAGCCGTGAAAATGTTATAAAGTATAGAATAAATTCTTAAAAGACGTGCTGTTTTCTTATAAAAATAAAAATATTAATTAGTTTCATAACACCAAAAGCTATGATAACAACCAAGTCATCACATATATGTATTAAAGTACATACCGCACAACATAAAACGAAAAGCCCAAAAACAAAGATTGGAAAGAATAAAGTACCAAATATTAGGCTTATAATTGAAGTTGTTTTATTATTATTATCTATTGAAATAAATCAACGACATTAGTATCCAGTAAAAGAAAAATAGAAAATTAAATTAATAATACATACTACCGCCATTTACGATTGACAATATGTCACTGACAATATTAAGTACAGTTCCAATCTAATATTAACATATTGATATAAATAATTTCTATCTAAAAGCATACGTCTATTTAATAAAATAACTTACCAAAGATAACAGCGTTATAATAATAACCCCTCCTCTCAAGGGAATGCAGCAACAGCATTTAGTAGTTTTAGTAACTAAGTTCATCCTGATTATTGGATTTTTTTTAAAAAAAAAAGTATATTACAGGAGTCACTCATCGAACGTACTAATTAAGAAATTTTCCTATTTATAAATAACATTATCAATGACATCATATCAATTAAACTTTGCCATACAGATACCAAGAAATATTTAAGGAAATTAATAGTCAAATTTGTAATTTTGTGATCAGCATGTTATTGTAATTTTCTATATCTAAAAATAACGAACAATTAGCCATAATACAATAGTACGTAATTCAGTGACTATAAAAATACGTCAGACCTCTGTAAATTCATTGCGATAGACAATATGTAAATAATTAGATAGTAATCAGTCAGAAATGCATTGGAGAGGTAAAAAAAATCTAAGCGTTATATTAGTTGGGACTAAGTGGAGGTATGCATTTAGGAATGCTCATAGAGCGAGCATTTAGGGAGGTTGCATTTAAGGGGTCTTTGTTTAGTGATGCAATCCAGAATAGGTAGAACTTCGTAACGGGGGGATTTTACCCGGAACCGCGCTATAAGCGATCGATAAAATTTTCAAAATTTTGTAAATTTTTAAATTTGTTAAATTTGTTAAATTTATTAAATTTACTGTAGTGAATTTTGAATTTGTTAAATTCCTAAAATTTAGGAAATTTTTATAAACTTGTTACATAAGTAATAAACATGTACAGTACGTATATGAAGGATTAATATTCACCTTTGATAAAAGATAACTCAGATCAACATTGAAAAGGTATTTGCTCTACTAATTCCCCAATTTGCATAGAGAATTATATAGTAGTCTAATCTCGTTGATCCCAACTTTGAGCTTCGTGACGTAATCTAGAGTGTTTTAGATAAATTTTAATATTTGTTGACATCATAAGACCTATTCCGGCGTAAGTTTCACTTCTAGAACGTCCTAAACTATACTGTATGATGTCTAGCGCTAGTACCATATTAGGTATTAACCATACGACTGTTATTGCAACACGCGGTTTAGGACGTTTGGCTACATTATTGTTATCAATTGATATAAGAATAGTGATACGAACTGACCCCGGCTCAACGGCTAGGTCGATGGGCGAGCCCGCGCCTTCCTAAAAGTTCATTACTATTCTTTATTTAGTTGGTTAGATTATTTTTGTGATTTCACCGATCTAATGTATTCCCAATAGGGTAAAGATTGTCTGAAGTTGGATGATTTTCAGTTAGACTTTTCAAGCGACCGTTTGATACAGATATCGAGGTTAATTCTTATTTAAAAAAAAAAAAATTTATATTAGCAAAAAGGTCTGCCCGGTCGACTAGCCCGAGTTTTTTTAATTACCTGGCCCATGATTTTTTCGTCGACCCGTATCACTAAATCTTATATGATGTGTAGGCGAAATAAAAAGTCGGACATAATTTGATGTCGAATGGTGTAAAATTTTAAGGTAGTAAGATTATTTTTTTGAAAGTCTGTACTAACTTGTATTACCGTACTGTACTACTTTACTATATACTCAAAATTTTATTATAACCACCAAAATTATGTACGTACGTACGTAATCGGTTTTTAAATATCAATCTAAGCACAATAATAACAGAATCACAAGATTTTTGAAAAAAATAATTAAATCTTTTTTTTTATTATTCAAATTATTTAATAGAATTTACTTAATTACAATTGCAAAAGTCTAAGCCGAATTACATTCAATTCAAACATTTAAATGCATTTATATTCAAATTCAAAATTTTTTAATACGCGTATAAAACTTTAATGCTACCAGTTAAGAATGTTATCCTGCTTAAATCTGCTAGTTTGTGCTTTAAAACCCGTTCGAACACTGTTTCGAACCACGTACATAAACTGGGTTTCAAACTCTGCTTTAAATTATTTATATACATATACTTTAATTACGTGCTCCTGAACAAGTTAGTTTAAACCCCGTTATTTATTTATTTATTTATTAGAACATATAAATATAGAAGTAAATTTATTTTGTACTTCCGGTTCAGGTGTATGTTGAGATAACGTTGACATTGATGTAGAGGTAAGATCGTTCATATTATTAAAATTTTCAATTGCGTTTTCTTCAACCATCGTATAAAGATAAAAAAAATAAAAAAATAACGTATTTATAGCAATTGAAATGCTTCTACAAAGAAATAAAAATCGCGTAATGCTTATTATACGTAATACATATCGTTAGAAATTAGCTTTTAATTAAAAATTAATAATACAAAAACCATGTCATTACATCATGGAAATTAAGAAAAGTTAATTATAAATCATGAAACATTTTGCTTGAGAAATCGATTTCGAACTCGATTTGAGCATTATAAACAGTATTGAGTTTAAAATTTCCTAATTAAATCACATGATCACAAACTCGAGTTTAACAGGTTTGGGTTTCAAACAGGTTCGAACTGAGTTTGGACAAGCACTATAACATCCCTACTACCAGTAAATGCGTTTTTGTTACGATCACTCTAAGTTTTGAAAGTTTTTTTTTGCTTGTTCGAAATCTTAAATGCCATCCAACATTTTTTTGGATAGGCTTAAAGTTCGATTCAATGCTTCGAACCATTTTTTTTGTTTGGAAAGATTATTAAATTTTTCAAAACAATCAAACGCCAAAAACATAATAAATTATATTTATATAAACATGAAAACATAGTAATAATAATAATAATAAATCTTTATACCTCATGAAGAGTTTTTGTGCTTTCTTAAAATTTCAGATTTGGATTCATTATCTTCAGTACTCGATTCCTCAATAGTGGTTCCTTCTCAGTCATAGTGTTTGATTCTTAGTTATCTATTGCGTTGTTTACTTTCATCATTTTTTTTTCATTCTTCTTTCGATTTCATAGCTATAGGTAGGATCTGTGAATAACCACGATTAAAAAAAATATTCAATTTAAAAAACGAATGTTTTAGTACATAAATTCGTAAATATTCAATTAATATTATTCATGAAGTTCGTGAATAGTCGTCGTGAATAAATTCTTGTTATCTGGCATGATGTGACAGATACATGGGTATTCGGCAGGATGATAGCAAAAGCACGTGACCGAAGGCCACGTGCGTTGCTATCATCCTGCCGAATACCCATGTATCTGTCACATCATGCCAGATAACAAGAATCTATTTGGTGTATCCGTGTAAAATCGGATATTCGTTCAATATTACTCGTGAAAGTCCGAATATTTATTTAGTGAATAGCCATAATGGATATTCAAAAGATCTCACCTTTATTCATAGCGACAATTACACCAATAGGTAAATTAAGTAGTCTTAATTTGTTTATTATCATATAGTAAACGTATGGATAGCCATCTCCTTTTCACAGATCTTTACGATTTTCAGTGTTAAAGAACTTCCTCTGCGTCATTTAATTCTAATTCATTAATCATTCGGGAAATATCTATAACTATCACAAGATTCATATGCATATTGCTTTCTTCTTCGAAATCCATAAACTTTTCATAAACTATAAACTATATATGTTTAATCTCTTCGGATTTTATGACATTTCTTTTTGTACAAATAATCATTTAAAATTTGTTCACGTTTTCTTCTACGGCTTTCATTTATACGGTTTGAACACTCAAAGCATGTTTTTTGATTGATTTGAAATGCAATAATGGGTTTATAATTCGACAAGGCGAACAAAGTTTTGGATTTTCAATTTTACTATATTAAAGAAAAAGTAAATAGTTATTCCTATTATTACGTGCATTATTATTAATCATTATTGTATCAATCATTAATCCTAATGTCGGCAAATAAATTTAAAAACCGATTACGTACATGATTTTGGTGGCAATACTAGGTGGGTCGTTCTGCATTTATGTCGGTAATACAATACATACATCGAATGTCCGAAGCTTATTAATATTTATACAAGTCGGGCATTTAGAGGTAGTACAAGATCATGATTTCAAAGGAGCCCCCAAAAGTGAGCGAAGAAATAAAAGGATATAGATGCCGTGTGCTGAAAAGAATAACATTTTTCAAAGATAATCAAGCAAAACGATTTAGTCTTCTTATAACACTATGTACTCTTAGATTAATAATTTGTCGAGTAAATGCAAATTGTAGGCAAATTTGCCTGCAAAACAGTGTAAGGGATAGGCCAAATAAGTGTCGGACAGTCTGCCGCATTGTTAAATATCTAATTTTCTAATATTCTCAAGGACATTGATAAATCACACTTAAAGATTATATACTCCTTTGAGAAAAACTAAGAAAATAAAATTTATAATTTTTGTTTTCATAAACTGTGTTTAATTAATTAGAAAATATTTTAATATGTTTGTTGTATTATGTTGTTGTTATACCGTATCAAGCAAATTTTGGAGTTAATTAGATAGGCATAAAATAAGACATTTAGGCATTATCTAAATTCAATTATTATAGAATTAGTTGTAAGAAGATAATGACAATTTTATAATTGAATTGAAAAAAAATAATACAGTCATTTTTTTATTAATGTATTTAAAATTTACTGAAATTCAAAAATTCAAAATCATTCCAATCAAATCAGGTGGTTAGAATTAACGATCGGATGCCTGAATTAGAATAAAATTAGCAACGTATCTGCTTCAATATAAGCAATTATTAAATTATATATATATATATATATATAGTGATAAGGGAATCGATGAACAATTCGAACATCGGTCAAAAAATTTCAAGCATCAAATAATCTTTCATTCATTGAGTATTTAATTCGGTTATCATAGAGCATTGGCCAAAGTTAAAATTTAACTGTTTTGATAATGATAAAAAAAATGATACATTGTATGTGTAAAAAAAGAAGAAATTATAAATCTTCAGGCTTTCCAGTAAAACCATGTGTTGAAGTTTCATGAGCTGTAGAAATTTCTTTGACCCTACGACTTGCAGCATAGGCGGCAATAATCATGGCAAAATAAATATGTGAGCGCAGACAAACCATTTAAAAATTCGTATCATTTAAAAATTAAACAAATATAAATATATTAAACATACCATGAGAATAATAACTAATAAAGAAATAATGATAAGTATGATACAATCGTCCGCAGAGTAATTTACATTTACACTATCAAAAATGAATCCAATTACTACATCCTTTAAAACTTCAATTACCATAACAATATTAAAAAAAAATGAATAAATTCTTAAAAGATAAGATGTTTTCTTAAATAATAAAATAAAACATTAATAAACTTCATAGCGACCAGGACCATAATTATAAGGTCAAGATTATAAAAGTCATTATATATTATAATACATACCACACAACAGCAAACAAAAAGCCCAAAAGTAAAGATTGGAAGGAATGAAGCATTTATGACTAAAAATATAATCACTTTGATATCACCTATAGAAATAAAATTAATGATATTAGTTTCTAGTAAAAGAAAATATAAAAATAAACAAATAATACATACCATAACCTTTTACAATTGGTGATATTTCCATGTAAACACTGTATCCAAACCAAATCTACATAGTTAAAATTATATACGAACATTATGTTAAAATATTGCGTATGTATATCAAAAAGCACACATTTGTTTTATAAAATACTTGCCAGACATAAGAGTGTTATAATGATAGCCCCTTCTTTCAAGGGAATGACGCAGCAACATTTAGTAGTGTTATTAATTAAGCTCATTTTATTATCTTGTTGGCCAAATTCAATTATATATATATTACAGAGTATAAGTTTATCGTTGATTAAAAAAGTTTATCTATTTATACAAACGAGAGTCGCCAAGCAAAAATCAGGAATCGTACAGATCAAACCCCGAAAAATGTGATTTAACACACCATATAATATATGTTGTGCTTAATTTAAATTTATCAGCCGTCGAAATTTCAGGTTTTCGCTTGGCGGCACTCAAATAATATTAATGATACCTTCATTAGCCATACTTCAATAAAAATATTTAAGGAAGCAAGTAGTTAAATTCAGTAAACAATATATTAATTAGTCAAATCTGCAATGTTAACGTACGTCACGCATATAATTTTGAAGCAACTATTTTTTTTAGAGAATAACTTAATGCTACAATTTGTTTTATGATAAAGGCAAGAATTGAGAGCTTAAATCGAATAATTACTATGATCATTATTCGCACTTTTACGTTTTACTAAAATTTGTACAAATTTTATTAAAACTCGAAATTTTTTTAAAAATATTGAATTTCGTACATTCTTGAAAATTATGTATTAGGTATTCTTGAATACTATGAATTGAATATTTTTGAATATTACAAATGAGCATTTAATATTTCCAAAAGAAAACATATAACTTGAATAATCAAAAGTGTCTGTTAAAAAATGATTATGATTAAGCGTTCAAATTTGCAAGAATCTCAATCTGATTTTATTTTTCCAAAGAATTTTACATAATCGACCTACTTTCAAATCGTATATACAGTTTCAAAGATGTATGTTTTCAGATTCGTTGTCTATTTTAAATCAATTCGCAATCTCTTTCAATACTTAGAATTACATCTTGATGTTTTTTTCATAGATTTGTTTATAAAATCTAATAAAGAAATAGATTGATATATAACTAAATTAAAAAAAAACAAGTTGGTGGATCCGCATATTTGAATTTTAGGACACCGCTAATGACGAAACAATGAAAAATATATAATGATAAGAAGGTCATTTCAACTCAATTGTATTTATTTATTATTATTAATCAATAGAATACGTAATTATTAATATCAATAATAAAGTCTGTATTAAGAATTGACTCGTAACATTTTTTATCTGTAAGAATTGAAAATAGAATTTAGAAATTATATCATTGATCAGATTTTTAATGAACCAAATCTGATAAATAATAAAAACCCAAAACCGTGTTTTCCCTTTGCAGACTCATTTTACTCATTTTACGTATTTAATTTCATCAATTCAAAAAATTCCTTTTATGACTACACTACCTATAACCAAATTTGAAAATCATACAATGCTGTACGTACGTACGTACGTATTATCATTATGGTAATGAAAAAACTCAATAAGTCACAAGATAGACAATTTTTTTTATGAAAATCACGTTATTATTGCTCGTCATGTGCCTTCCTCGCACATAACAGTCGTGATCAACCATTCTTATACCTAAAGCCACGTCCTATCAAGCGTTCATTTAACATATACATCAGTGTCTAACAGTGATGGTAAATGACTTCAAATTACCCGAAATGACGCATAACAATAATGATAACTAGTGCACGGCAAAATCAAACAAAAACTTGAATACAAATTTTATTTTTAGTAAATACGTATATAAATTTATTTTAGTAAATACGTATATAAATTTATTTTAGTAAATACGTATATAAATTTATTTTTGGTAAATATATAAATTTATTTTAGTAAATACAGTTAAACCTCTCTATAATTACACACTTGGGATACAAAACAGCGTGATTGTAAAGAAGTGTGACAATTATAGAGGTCAAATTTATTATATTTAATAAGATTGGTTTTAAAAAATTGTGTTTATAAAGAAAGTGTGCTTATATATGAGGCGATTATATAGAGGTTTGACTATATATAAATTTAACAGGAATCAGATTTTACTTTAGACTTTGTGGTAACTTATCACGAAGTTTAAAGTCAGTTTAGAGTAAACATAGATTTTGTAATTAAAGCACAATACTGTAAATCGATAGATTTAAAAACTTGGTTTTCAAGTTTTTGTTTGATTTTACCGTGTACTAATGATAACACATATAAGTTTTGAAATAGGCTGGGTTGGACTAGGTATTTAAATGCTCGGCAATAAAAATTTATGTGCCCGACCCAACCCGGGAATGATGAATGACTCGGTCGTTTGATCGAAATTTAAATGGCCCCAAATCATAACATTCAGAGTATTAAGTTTATTTAGGTCATTTGTATATAAAATAATTTTATTGCTCGAATTGCTCATATACCGTATACTTCCGAAATTAAGCACCCTCGGAGCAATTTTTATAGTCAAAATTCTCGTGATATAATAATCAGATATACGTAATTTTGGTACCATTCGAATCAGCTTGCCAAAACGATTCAAATGGGACCAAAATTATGCAGATCCGATTATTAGATCACGAGAATTTTGACTATAAAAATTGCTCCGAGGGGGTGCTTAATTTCGGAAATATACGGTAAAAGTTATTAAACTTCATAATCGATATCGTACTTCAAAATCTTACTAAGCCAATTAATGTTTATAAATTAGAAACCTGTTTATTAACTTTCGTATAAATTAGAAACCTGTTTATTAACTTTCGTATAAATTCAACTTACATGAAATTTCAGAATATATGCAATTTATTATTTCGAGCAACTTTACTTAATATATAAACCTTTAATTAACTTAGTAAAATTTGGGTTTTAATACGTATACAACTACGATTATTAATTATATTTTAAATTTTATTCGGCGGTAAATTTTGATTGGCTAAGAGCATTAGAATATTAGTTAAAATATGTTAAATAACCTTTTAAGGCATTTGGGTCTCGAAATGACCCAATGACTAGTTCATTTGTCATTACCATCACTGGTGTCTAACGACAATCCCCTAGCGCACCCACAAAAATTGTTCCCGCCCGTGATTTTTGGCCAATCAATTTTCAAGATCAGGTGTAAATTTTAATTAAGAAACCACCATCACCCTTTCCTCTTTTTCTCTTCCCTTTTCCTCGCTCCCTTTTTTACCCTCTCCTTCACCTTCACGTTCTGCAACCTAATTAAAATTGTTCCGTGAAATTTTACTAATAGAATCTCTATCTTAACCCTAATCCTAACCCAAACTACAAGTTTTATTAGGGTGTTCATCATACTAGAAAGTCAGACATTAATCTGAGTCGCATATGATGAATTTTTATGAAAATCTGTATTTACTGCGGATAATATCAACTTTCCGTACGCTTTCTATTGAATAGTACAATAATTGATGTCTAATTTTTTTTTTAAAAAAAAGATAAAGCAAATTGCATACTCTAATGTAATAGAGCTATTTTTTGATTAACGCTATTTATACTATAAAATGGCGTAAATCGAAAAAATGGATCCAACATTAAAGTATATACAATTTGCTCTATCTTTTTTTTTAAAAAAAAATTAGACATCAATTATTATACTAGTTCAAGAAAAAAGCGTACAGAAAGTTGATATTATCTGCAGTAAATTCGGATTTTCATAAAAATTTATCGTATGCGACCCTTTGATTTTACTTTAGTAGTATGATGAACACCCTAACGTTTTATTCTCAGTAAAAATTACGAGGGACAATGCGCTATCTAGGTCACATTCATGTGAATATATAGAAACGTACCTTACCGATATACTAATTAATCAAAACTATGTAAGGTATTGTAGTAAAATCCAACATTAAATTCACTTGTGAAGACTAATATCCAAAAATTGATTCATCTCGCGTACCAACTATTTTTCTCCTGCGATTTATACACAAAACGATTAGTTTAATATGTAGAAAAAGTTATAGTTTAAAGTTTTTAATTAATTAAATGTTTTTAAAGATTAAGTTAGTAAGAACTTCCTGTAATATATATTAAAGCTAAGAATTTACTTTGTAAATGAAAATTTTAAACTGTAACTAATCGTTTTGTGCATAAATTGCTGGAGAAAAATAGTTGGTACACGAGATGATTCTGCATTGTTGCATGTAACTGCAACTATTTTTGAAATAATCCCATATCTTGGAGACATAACTCCATTGCATTTAAGATTTCAGCACTGTATATGACCCTTTTATACTAATAAAGTCTAACAAAATGCTTCTAAGTTTCCATGACTTATTAAGATAGTGAATGGTTACTGCCATAAATAACTTATCAAATAAATTGGTCATCCAAATATCAGTAGTTACTGCTATGCCCTCAGGGATTTCTTGTAACTTGCTTGAAGCTTTACTTTTTATTAGGTTGGCTGAAGGTGCTATAAAAAAAATTAACCATTTATATTTTTATTACTATATTACATTATAATTTAATATTATATACCTGGTACATGGGGCTCTAAGTACTTAAAGATTAATTCAAGTTCTACATCTTCAGTGATTTGGAATGGTTATGTTTAATAATCCATCACTTAATAAGATTATTTAATTTATCTTTGCTGAAAGATTTACAGTGATTATTGATCTATTATATTTTAAGTAAATTGTATTTTCTCTAACTATTGTTATTTAGCATATCAATAACAGAAGCATTGCCTTATTTTTTATATCTAATTCTTTTAACTCTGGTAAATTTTTTTTATGCTGCTTAAGATGTTTTTTAAGATTTGATGTTGTTCCATCTTACAAAATTCACATTGTGCAAAACCATTTTCTTTTATAAAGATGATAATACAAAACATCTATAATACAAACAAATATAAGTAAAACATTCTAAATAAAAAAGAATCCTTTTGGGAAGGTTTTGTTTTACCTGGTACGTCTGTTACTAGCTTGATATGTTTAACCAACTTTGGGTTTATCCTGGCAAGTAGGTGTTGGTTCATATTCTTCATGTCTATCTGAATAAACTGGTGAATAGACTGGCCTATCTGAGTAAGTAGTCGCCGGTTCATAATCTTTAGATTTACTTAAGTAAGCAGAAACAGGTTTATAATCTTCAATAAAAGAAAGTGTAGACAAAGTTGACATTGTAATTACTGGCTTATAAAAGTTATAAAAGTTGAAACGTGAAACATGAAAGTTCTTAACATATATATATTAAATAATAATAATAATAATTCAAAAAAAACGTCTTATAATCTTCATCTGACCAACAAGCCACCATCAAAATCATTTATACCTAATTTTTTGATTGTCCTTTGTGAAACATTTTTGTACCGAAAACCAAGTAAGGATTTAATTTTGTAACGCTAAAAATATTTTTAAAAGAGCAATCTCAGTTCATATAGATTTTAGATGGATTAATGAGAACCTTGATGAGAATTCACATTGACTTCTTTAAATCTTAGATAATTTCAAACGGGGCCTGGAAGAATAAAAAAAATCAGTGGAGAAAACCTATAATATCGTTATGAAACACTCGGAAAAACTTAATTCTGCTGTAATATACGAAAGAGATTATAAATATTACTATTTTGAGTCCAAAACACTTGAAAGATTCTATCTTTTGCGAATTGACTGTTTGCATTCATGGTGATCAATTGGAACCTACTATTTAAAGTCTGAAAATATTTTACACATGCGTAGCGACTCTTTTAACACGATCTCAGCTTCAAGTTACTTCCTTCCGACAATGAAAAATTATTCCATCAAGTGGACAATGAAAAATTCTTCCATCAAGTGTATCTACGTAACATTAAAGACATGTGCCATGATTTCGAAAACGGCTGGTGGTATTGGCTTTAAAATTAACAATATTCGATCTTCCAAATCTTACATTGCGGGAACTAATAGTTATTCAAATGGGATTATTTCCATGCTTCATGTATAATAACATTGCACGATACGTTGATCAAAAGCCCGATGCATCGTAGTCTATTTGGAAAGATGGCATTCAGATATTTTTTAGATTTAAAAAATAATACCGGTAAAGAAGAGGTGCGAGCACGAGACTTATTCTATGCCCTCTGAATATCTGATTTATTTATGGAACTGACGATGATTAGGGACTTTTTGATCCAGCAGAGGCACCCGGATTTATGGATGTATGAAGAGATGAATTTGAGGTAAGATTGCGATATTAGATTAATTAAACCTTTCACCAATGTGAATTACTGATTTTTCTTTAAAAATTATATGAGGTTTAGGTTTAGAACGCGAGATCGTTAAAACTTAAAAGGTATGATCTACAACATTAGAATCACAAATCGAAACAGATACTCCATACATGATCTAAAGATTCTTGTAATCGTAATATTTAATCAGCAGAACCTTGAAACGATCAAATGCAGTAATTTATACACTGAGATTATCGAATATTCTAGCAGTGATCAGGTGGCAGTGTTTAATCTTGCAAATATAGCTTTACTAATGTTTTTTTTTGTTAAGTATGAATTGGAAATTGAACACTTGCATGTGGTCTGTTTTTTAATTTATAGCTATACTATTTATTATTAATTTACTTCTAATGCAAGATTATTGTTTTCATTATTTATAGGTCACAAAAGTTATAACTCATAATTTAAATAAAATTATTGATATTAATTATTATCCTGTTGAAGAGGTGCGTAGGTCTAATTTTCGGCATCGTCTAATTGGCATTGGTGTTCAAGGTATTTATTAAATAATTCATGTTCTACAATTTAATCATATCTAAGTAATGTTAAAAAAAAAAAAATAGAATTGGCGGATACTTTTCACTCCATGCGCATTCCGTTTACTCTTCACGTGCTAGAGAATTGAATCTGAAAAATATATCATGGTGCCTTGGAGGCATCACGTGTGCACATGGTCCGTCTCAAGAGGACGCTATGCAAATTTTGGTTTATTGATTCTATTCAATCATTATCAATACCTCTTTTTTTGGATCTCTTTGTTATAAAGATTATCGGGAAATTTAGGAAGGATTTATTCTCAGATAAATATAGCGTTTTTTTTTAGAAGTTTTATTGTGAATTTAGAACTTTGTAGATGTGAACTGAAATTAATGAACTTTCGAAGTTAATTATACAATTTACATTTTAGTTTGTTATAAAGTGGATGCTGATTTGTATAGAGGTTGAAATCAAATTTAATTTTTCAATTCGAATTTTTATAAACAGAACATGAATTGATTCATACAAATTCGAATATGTGAATATTCATTAATTCACATTATGGGAGGTGCTAATAATGGCTAACCACCTATGTGACGCAGCATTTAACCATTGTTGCATTTAACAGTTATATAATTTAATAAAACTAGTTTAATAGCATATAGCATAAAGTTGTGCAAAATTGTGCAAGGAACATATGTGTTTGAGATCCTGCGTATATTAATGTTTTGCGCCTATCACAAAATTTGTCAAATTTTCAATCGAGATGCAATTTCATAGTGATCTAAATAGTGCACAAGTATTATGACGTAATTTTTGCTATTGTCATAACATTTTGATACGAATAACGATATTATTGAGATATGCTCAAACATTACTATTACTATGATTTTTTTAATAATTGTAGTGATGCTCAATTGCAACGATAGGTCAAAATAAAGATCTCAATCACAAGTTTATCGAAAATTTTACAAAAAATATAAGTCGTTAATGAAAATCCATAATAAAAGTATGAAAATACTTGAATACTTTATTCATTTAATATTTATAAAGTTTTGATAAGTCAGGGCAAAAAAATGTGGTTAAGGACAAAAAGTTTTTTGACTGAAATGGCAAACTCACTTATCATCTTTTAATATTTAAAATTTTTTTTTCACGTAATAAACTATTTTTTCCGTTAATTAAAATTTAATTCCCTACACATTTTTGACATACTTTGATTCGATATTGAATAGCCGTTTATAAAAATATACCTCGAAACGTCTCATCTGGAAAAGTAAATTAAATGTTAAAATATCTAGAGAAATATTATTAAGCCTTCGTAATTAGTATCCAAATATCAGCGCAATTAAGATTCAAATCTTATTCTTGTAATGAAGAGAAGCATGGCAAATACAAGTTCCAGAGTTATTATATATATATATATTATATACCAGCCTCACGTGTTATTAATCAAAAAAACCCCGTGAGCCAATAAAAATCTATAGATCATTCTAGAATTGATCTGAGACGTATAAATCGTAAGTTTGGTCATATCAGTTACTATTTAAAAGTTTCTACATTACTTTTTATTACCTGTATCTTGTTTTTATGTTATTAAAAAATATCTTTACTAAGTTTCACTACAAGGGGTTATCGGAAACAACTTATGTGGAATGGAGTATAAAGCTACGGAAGAGTAAGTTTTAAGCATGAGCCGCGTTTAAGCCTGGCAACAAAGTTAGATATATTAATAAAACCAGATACAAAAGCGAAGAAAAGAGCGTTAATTTTACTCTATGAATTGAAGGTTAGAGTTTATTTTTTTTTTATAAATGTAAACGTTAACGAGAATAGTAAAGCTTGCTAAGTTCTTAGGGGATTAATTTTATGGTTTGGTAAATGTAAAACGGGCTTACGAGATAGTGACGTACTATTTCTTGTGTCCCTTACATCCGTGGTTGTGCATGTGGAGCTACTGTTGTTAAGGGTCGTTCAGTTGTAATACTTACATCCGGGTTGGTTTCATATTGCTACGCCCCTTCAAATATCTCCTTTACGCATTCTGGAGATGTTCATTCCATTGGTTCGTTCCAATGGTTTGGGTTGGGGAAAAGCACCCTGTATTTGACATGAAAAGCATTGTTTACTATGAAGTTCTTTTGATTAAAGCCTGCGATTCTGATAGAGGAAGAGCTATGTGTCTTATTTATACTGTAGATAAAAGATATTTACTCACAAAATTCTACTTTCTCAGTCATGAAGAAAAATTAGATTGTAAATTTATTTAGCAGAAATGACTCATGCTGATGAATGGATATCGTTACAAAAATGGAAATAGGATTGTTGTCATCATAAGAGAGTCTACACTGAAAAGAATGATCATAAAATGTTTCATAATCTGTAAAAAGAGGTAATGCCGGAAATGCAAATGTGCCAGGATGTAGTTATTGATATGGAATTGGAATAAGTATTGGATCCATTTTTGTTATGAATTTTTTTTTTATTTTGTGAAATGGAACTTTGTAATTCTTGGTTCATTAGAGTGGTTGAAAGGTTGGAACGCAAAAATTACTAGGAGATTCGGATTGGACTGAGAAAATGGTAACCAAATAATAAATAATTAGTTACACTTTTTGTTCAGTATTTTTTTTTTGAAATGGAAACTAATTATTTTCTCTTCCATAAATTTTTGATTTGTTAGAGCGGTTGGAACATCATATTTGAAGCTGTTGTCAGAGTTAGAAATACTATGCCAAGCTCTAAAAACAGATTCAGGAGAGAAAAAGCCTTAATTGGTGAATTAAAGGTTAGTAATTTTAGAGTAAAAATTAGCCATTTTTTTTTTATAAAGAATTTTTATTTATTGTTTTCTACTTTTTCATGCTATAAAAGGACAAAGCCAAAGAAAATAAATCCAAAACATGTCTTCAACATGCAATTGAAAATGAATTATGACGTGATTTAATTAATGAGGTTATATCATAAGTTTTTTTTTTTTTTTTATCTGACATGCCTTATGTGATTACCAAGTGATTTTTATATAATTTGACATCTCAAATGCAATGTATATTTATATTAGAAGTTGGCAAATAAGCTATGTATACAAAATTCATACGGTGTTTGTGTCAGACATGTCAAATAATTCTAGCTATAATTTATCATGGGAAGTTTCTTTAATCAGTGTGATTAGGGTATTAGACTATCTAATATTGTTTGTTTTAGGTTTAGCTAATTTTCAGCATTATTATTTATCCTAGTGGAAGGTTGGAGATTGATATTACAGATCGATTTCAAAAGTATCAAATAGACATATTAAATAAGGCTAAAACAGAAGGCTTAGCCAATGAATTTGAAATTTTGTAAGTATTTCTATCAGTTTTGGAAATCTGTTTTGAGATTTATGTTCTCATGAGAACAAATATATTATTTATATCACTATTTTTTTAAAATTTCTTATTTTAAAAAATATCAGGCATTAGGTGGGTTTCAGACTTAAGGTTTCTAATTTCCAATTAAATTAGCGATGTATTTATTTTGTAATTAGCAAGTCTATTTATATAATAAGATATAATATACATCATTAAAAAGGTTTGGTCATTTTATCTCCGGACAACTCCTTTTTCATTTCTGATTTTGAAATTTCAAAACTAAAATAGAACTTTTCAAACTTCTACTTATTTTCAAAATAAGTTAAATTTTTTTGTCCCAATTCTTCTTATTTTTTATGTTCATTCATTTTCTTTTTGGATGAATTTGAAACTTTATTCAATTCCTAATTGTATTTTTATATATCATTCAGGGTGCTAGAATTGATAATTGTCCTACAAAGTTCATGTCTCTATTTTATTTTTACTATTAAGACAAACTTATATAAAATCAAAGAAGCAATACTTCACAGGAAGTATCTTCTTTGATTCACAAAGCATCAATGGATCACTTTCTTAGAAAAGAAGTATTTGTAAACAATGGCAACTCAATACTTGGCAGAAAAGTTGCAAGATGCTTTAATAATTTGTAAGTTATAGCATTTTTGTTTTATTTAGTATATAATATATTTATAAATTTATTTATTATTAAATATAATTTAGATATGAAAGTATTCTGTATATAGTTTCATTGAAGATGACAGAAATGGAATATTGCAATACTTATTTATATTTTATAAATCCACTTAAAAAATGAAAACCCAGATTTGTCATGTATAGTAAATGATATTCCAATCTTAAATTCAGAAGTTAAGCCTATTGGTTGCTTTAAATTAAAGAAAAAAATAAAATTTATTAAAATACAATTAAAGAGTATAAAGGCTATAAATTAACAAATTAATGAAAAGGATAGATCTAGTAAATCTACTTTATTTTTAAACTTAGATATATATAAAAATACAAAATAGCAATATAGTATTTTTATTAAGTTTCTTATAATATATTATTATTTATTTATTATATTAATTAATTTGTATTTTGTAATAATTAGAAGAACAAATAAATTTATATATTATAGGCTTAAATTATGATTGAATTTATAGATATTTTGAAAGAATAACTAAAGATATAAAATATTAACAAATTTTTTCTTAAAAAAAAAGCTTTTATATGAGAATGCTTGGATTATTCACAAGCAAAAATATATTTATATAAATAAGTATTGCATCTTTTTTTTAGTAGTAAAAATAATTTTTTTTACAAATAATTATAATAAAATCTACCAAGTTTTGCATTTAGAATTACTATATAAAATTAATTAATTAGTTTTCATAATCTGGCTAGAATTAATTTTTAGATTTTTTCTTATTAAAAAAAAGTTCTTGTAATATTTATTATCTTCTTATAATTCTCATATAAATTTATAGAAAAAAGAGTTCTTAATAGTTCTTAAGTTCTTATTTAATATTTATAAAAAATGAGACTTAGCACTACAGCCAATTACTCTAATAATTCAATATATATTTATTTATTTACAATAAGTATATCATATTTTTTTTAATAGTTTCTTTGGTTAAAATTTTCTAATTTCAAGATTATATACTATGTTTCTATATCAGGTTATGTTTTTTGCCTTATAAAAATTAAATTAAACTATTAAATAACCAGTAAACAACTAGTTTATAGTATATTAAAAATCTATACTTAATTAATATATACTTTTTAGAATACTTGAAATTCAATTATATATATACTATAATAAATAAAATGCTAATAATCTTTGTACGATTTTGCTAATTAGATTTTTTAAAAAAATTGTAAATATATTGTTTTTTAAATAAAATATAGTTATAAATTACTATACAATTAATTTTATCTATAGTAGTATAATAAGACTTTAGCTAATAGCTAATCTATAATAAATGATATTGGCTTTATTATTAGATATATAAATAATATGTTGTAATCAAAGCTAAACTTTGTATAAGCATATTTTTCTTTTTATCTTATTAAATTACTTTTATATTTTGAGTTGTAAGAGTAGAAATTATTATAAAAAATTTAAATTCAAAAAATTTGCTAAATGAATTATTTATTTTATTAATTAATATATTTTATAATTATACAATTAGACCTTTCTAAATACAACCTTTCTAAATGCTTATCTATGTAAAATCTCTCAAATGCATGCTTTTTTTTGGCCTAACTTAATATAATACTTATAGATTTTTATTTTTCTAAAACTATGATCCCAACACTATACTGTTAAGCGGGAAAAACACACGCCTTAAAATCCCTACTCGTTAGGGTAAACCGGGAAAGGGTTTGTGTAACGTTCAACGAGAATACTGTAATGTCTCGAAAGAGGATGTTCGATTTGGCGGAGCCAAATAGATAGTTTATTAATTATGATGTTTGTGAGACACCTTACAACTTAATAAATGCTC